TATATCACTACATCTTCCTCAATGAGTCACTGCTAATTGGTAAGATAAGCACTGTTCCAGTTTGTAAAGGTGCTCCAGCTAAACATTTCTGCAGAAGTAACTGTACAGTTTAATTCTCTTGCTGCTCTTAATATGGCTCTTAATTAGCCATATTTTCATGCCATCAACAATTTAGGAAACTGCAGCCAAATCCATTGACCTGCACAACTAGAAGTGCATCACTTGTATTAATGACTGTTGTCACTATGCTGCTCAGCACTGTATGCAACCTAACAACGATTCAAAAGTGCTCCTGGCAAAGCTAATGGATACCAGAAGAATTGAGTTCATAGATTTGGCATCAACTCCAGAATTTCTGCAGGCATCCCAGTGTACATTACAAGTAAAGACACACAACATCTAGAAGAACAGTGAAGTAGTGCAGTGTAGGAATATATACCCTAGCTGCTAAAAAGTTAAGTTGAACTAATGCAGATACTAATGCTATAGATAAAATGATTAGCAGGTAAAATACCATAGCAGTGACACAGATGCAGCTTACTTTGCAAAAATTAAAATCACTACATTTTGAGTGAACAAACATCACTGATGGAATTTCACCTTGTAGACAGCATACATATGAAAGCTACTTCTGCAAGAGATTTTCTAATTTATTCCCTTATTGGTTTTCTGCCCTAACATTTTCAGGTCAAAGGCTGATATTTAATTATACATCTACCTTCCACAAATGGAGACAAAGATGTCAGCAAACAACTATGTCAGATACCATGGAACATGCTGATGAGTGTAAGGAATCCAGTACAATGTTTGCAGCTAATGAGGCATACAAGGATCTTTTATGCAGCCTAAATTTTCTTATTCTTTGACCCCAGTCTTTCAGCCAGGGTTCATTAAAAATGAATTTTTTAATGTTTAGATTGGGGTGTGTTGTTTTGTTGTCTAAATGATCTTCTTTCTTTTTAAAAACAAACATGTTTAAAGTGAAAACATTTTTGCAGTAAACTGAAAGAAGACTTCAACTTAATTATAATCTCTATAACCATTTAACTCAGCTTCCCAGCCTTTTTTAGACTGAAGTCGCCCCCTTGAAAAAATGCCAGGTCTTAGGTTTCACTTATTTATATATTTATTTTTACAGAAAAAAATAGAGTAACATTTCTGTTGCAAAGAACTCAGAAAGACCATAACAAGTCTGAAAGTTTTTGACACTATGGATTCCTATTACAAATTTCTGCGTTTAATCTCATAAATCCTGTTTGCACACCTAACAGTGCTAACATTGTGTGCCTTGAGATTGAAGGCATCTCAAGGCACCCCAGGGTGCTGCATCATACTGGCTGCAAATCCCTAACCTAAAAACAAATATAATTAAGTCAGAAAGCTCTATAAAATTGTTTGAGTTCCAGGCTGTGTGCTTAGCTACTCAAATTGTGGTTTTGCGATTTTTGTGAACATTGCAAAAAAACAGTGATTTCTACCAGTACTGTGAAAAACTGCAGTTTCTGTGATTTTGCATGGAATTGCTGGAAACCCCCCCGCTTACTAAAATAAAATGCTGACTCCCCAATGAGGGGAGTGGGGTGGGGGGGAGAGAGCCACTGGCACAAAGGGGAACAGCTAAGATGGCAGTTGCCCCTCTTCCCTCAGCCACTGATTGGCTGAGAGGGCTGCCTTTCATGGGGCCCCACCCTTCTCTGCCAATCAGCAATGAGGGGCAGGGTTGCGTGAAAAGGCAGCCAGTCAGCAGCAAGGGTTAGGGCTGTGTGAGGACCAGCACTCAGTGGTAAGGGGCAGGGCCCCCCTGGCCAATCAGCTGGGAGCTCACCACGAAAAGCCCATGAAAATTGTGACAGACAACCTGAGCGGCCTGTGATTTTTCTTTGCCTTGGCGTGCCTTAAATAGATCCCTATATATGAAGAATGAACCAAGGGTAAAATGTATGACCTTTGAGGCCATGCTTTACAATTATGGCACACTAGGTCAAATAAGAGCCAGTCCTGGCAGGGAGCCAGGAGCTAAGCTACAGAATGCAAGAGATTGGGATCTGAGATCTGGCCTGGGGTTCCAAGAGACAGAATTATGCATCTTGTTAGGATCCTCCACGAAGCCAAACTTGCTGGTCTCCAACATTTATTTTACAGATGCTCTCTACCAAAGCTCTCACTGGCTCAGTTATCAAATTATGAACACTTATGACTACACATCCATCGTGGAAAAAAAAGACACACTCATTAACAACCACTTCATGTTTGAAGAGCAGTACAAGTAATTTATGGGTACTATTTATTGTCAAGATTCTGGGTTATCTTAGTCTCTTAAGTACCAGTCACGTTCCAGTTTCACATTCAAAAAATTTCCAGGCTATTGTGAAATATTTAGTTGAACTCAGACTCTAGCTAGCCCCTTTACTCACTAAACCAGTTGGAAATGTGAAGCATATTTTGATAAGAAAAGTTTGTTTCCAAAACATTTATGGTTCGTTTGTGTAATTAAAATAAACTTTACGTAGTTTACATGGCTTTGTAGATTTAATTAAATTTCAGCTACTATCCTAATGCAACTACTCGACACAAACTGTAGGCAAAAGTAAATTATTTAGGGAATAAAGTTTCTACATGTAAGGCCTCTAGTTAGTTAAAGTCTCCGTTTTTTTATGATTATACCAACCAACAAGAATGTACCCATCTTCAGAACGTAAAACTGAAGCACAAACAAAAAGTTGATTTAAAAAGGCTGTCCACTTGGCAATTTAATCCACTCTGTCAAAGACAATGAAAGATCTTTCTCCCCCACAGAAAAAGTTTGGGTTTTTCAGAGGTTACAAGATATTGCCAGACAGAATGATTTTACAGTGGCTATGGCTACTTGTATTGCCCCTTTATATACTCTTTGGAAATTAGATTCATGGGGAGAAAGTTATTTACAGCTGGATTTCAACAATACATGGCAATCCTCTTTGACTAGATTTAGGAGCAAACAGATGCTTACAGCTGTTTTGGCTGGATGTAGACTTCCTATTCCATGGGCTGAAAGATGTTGCCCAGCCTGTCTAGGAGTTTTGGAAGACACTATTCATTATGCTTTAGAATGTTCTTTATATAACAACATAAGGAGAAGCAATTTATCACTCGTCTTGCAGAAATTGATATACTTTTCAAACAAACAGAGAGAAACTAATCTGGCTCTCCCAGCAAACAGTTGCAATTTTTTGTTTGTAAGGCTGAAGTGATTAGAGTTGAATATCCTTTACTGTTGATATGATTGATAAATTTTAACACTATCTGATTTTAATGTGTCAGTTGTGGATCTATGTACAGAATTTTTATAGATTTATGATACGATTTACTACTATATTTATACTAATAACGTTTTTATAATGGTTGGTTCTATTTTCTTATATTTGTATTTCTGTTATTTTGCTTAAATTTATTAGTATTATGGTTGTATGTTTTTCATGTTGTTTTCAGTCATAATCCTTAATAAATTAAACTAATCCATTCTGTTTTCAGTCTGTTGATCTATGTTAAAAAAGCTCTTAAAAGGCAGAATCACACCCAGGTAGCTTTTCTCGACGTTTTTGACACCATCTGAAATTGTAGTAGCTCCAGAAAACTAATTCACACCTCAGTGATACTCTACTGAAGGTTGCAGTCATTTTGCCATCCACGCTTGTCAGTGGTCTCCTGCGGATACTGGGGATCCAACAAAGGCCCAAGGTCCTGTCAACAAAGGACGCAGAAATGCTACATGGCACATTTTCTGGCCTTCCTCTGTTTAAGGAAAAGAGATTTCTACACATGAACAAATGAATCCTGTTGTTTCCTTGACTTGACTTTTGAGAAGGAACTTGGGAAAAATAGGGTGAAGAAAAGCAACTGTTGTAGAGTGAATTAGTACAGACAACCTTATATTTTGATTATCCAGTGAGTCCAATTATATAAGTACTAAAATTTTATCTTAGAGAAACATCCATGCTTCCATTTTTTGCAGCAAGCTTGCAATATGCAACAGAAAGAAACATCTATAGAAGTACTTTTTCCTTCATTTCACAAAATTCCACTGAAGTTCACTGAGCTAAATGCTAATGACTCTTTTCCCCTTCTCAATGGTTCTCCTTTGGAAATGTTTGGCAGTATGTCAAACGACTGAACATTTTGAAGAGGGGTAGAAGTTTCCCACATAAATATAGAATGTGGTCTCAGTATCCCAATTCCTCGATGCTTCTTAGATCATGTGATTCCTCTCTAAATTCCAAGGGGGTGGGAGGTATGGAAGGATAGAGCAATGCATCACAGAACCGGCAGGTGCCTTTGTTCTCCCCCTGCTACCTTCTGCTTCCAAAGAGTCACTCTCACTTTCAGATGATTGCTTTTTCCTGATGTCAGCTGATGTAGTAACGGTCTCAGGACAGAGTTAAAAACTTTGCAAAATAATGTATTTATAGAAAAAGAAAAAAAATGTTACAAAACCATATTAAAAATAAAAGTATCCTTAAACAGCAACTTGAACATACTAAATTTAATAGCAAGAGAAAAACATCCACTTAAATTGTATCCATTTTTCCCCCTAAACGGGGGAAATTAAGTAGTTTAGCAGACTGGCAAAGAGAGGGATTTTCACATCAAGCTCACTAGATAAAATCCACTATAGCTCTAGAGGGAGCACAAGCTGCTGAAATAAAACAGCAGCTGAGTGGCTACATATAAATAGATGGTGTTTTTTTTACTACTTTTTATTGCACAGATGTCCACAGTACAAAAACAGACAACTGGCTCGCCTTTGACACTCAGGTGAAAGACTAAACTCTGCAAGGCAAGGCTCTCTTCATTGCACATAGCTGGTTTAAAACATGTGGAGAAGCTTTTCTTCTTGTTATATATACACATCTATAAAAGGCAGACAATAGCAATCACTGAATATTAACCCGGCATGTTTCACAAATACAATAAATGAGACTGTGGTAGACGTTAATGTGCATATACATATTTCTAAAATGTACCTGAGCAGAAATGCCAGCAGCTGCTGGCAGAGGATTGGAGATCATTGGACCAAAGATATCCAAGTCATCATTCAGTGTTGTCATAGCAGTGGCACTTCCATTTGCAATAAGTGCTTCAGGTGGACCATCTTAAAAAGAAAATGGACTGAAGTTTTAAAGTAGAATTAATAAATAAGGAAATCACTTTAAACAGTCAAGTATTAAAAACAGCACTTGATTTTGCCAGAAACTTTCAAAGCACCTCAGAAACATTAAAGCTGAGTTTGTAAAAAAAATGTTCCAAAGGAACTCTGTAGTTTGACAACTGTGGCACACTAATGTACCCTGTTCAATAGAACACATTGTATAGTACTGTAATATTTTTCAAAATTGTATTCAAACACTTCCCAGCATTATAATTTAACAGGAAGTTAATTATCAACTCATACCTACCTAGAAAAAAATTGGGTTACTTGATATTATGTTAATCTGAACTCCTTAAAAGTTAAAACGTTTGTAAACACTGAGTTTAGTGTGCCAGATTTAGTCAGAATACTGTACATTCTTGAAGTGAAGCAAAAATATTAAATTTTCCTTCCCACCATAATGAAATACTTTATTTAGTAGTATAGTATACTTGATGTATATGCATGCCAGATAAATGTATAGCTCACTTAACTGTATAATATTGTCTTGATTTCTTGCCTATTGCTTGCATTGTAACAAACTCTGAATATCTACCTATGAGTTAATGCAGAAACACTTAAGTGCACAGCTTCTTTCCCTTCCACTCTCTACTTTAATAAATTAATTTTACTCCTTAACTGCATAGCTATTGTAACTGTAACTATCTGCTTTGTAATTAGCTATACTCTGACTATCCCAGGAAAAGCAAAAGGGAAGCAACTGTCAAAGGGCTGCTATCTGAAGCTGTGAAAATGATGTGAGTTTGTTTTACAGCTGTGATTTCCCCATCATTTTTATGGCATCTAACAGGCACATTGGGGCTGCTATGAAGTCTTGAAAATGAGCAATGGTAGTCCACTGCAGACCTCCTGATACTACAACACTAAGAGCACTGTACATTTAAATGAGAAGTGTTTACACTGAGCTCAGCAAGGGCACAGCAGCCTTAAGCAGAGTCCTGAAACTGCACTTAAATGGAGAACAAGATACAGGTGTACATAGGAATTGACAGCAATAAAACAATTGAATTTGCCCTACAAAGAGTTTGCAATCTATACTCCTGGACTCTAGACAGGTATATAATATTTAGGGGTGCACTGATAGATTTTTGGGGCCAATACCTATAGCTGATTTTTAAGGCGGCATATTGGCCAATACCAGTCCAACTTCCGATACCAGCCCAGCAACTTGGAGACCTGTATGCACCTGGTAAGTCTGGTGTGATGGAAGGGGATGGGGGAGGGAAGGGGTGTGGGGGTGCAGATCAAGGCCCCCCACAGTGAGGGAAAAAGTGGGGCTGGGCTGGGGCAATCGCTGCCCAGCCAGGGCAGGGCGAGCTCATCTGGCACTTATTCAGTTGTCTGGTGGCTCCTGCTGCTCATCTGGGGGCGGGGGGGGACATGGGGGGGCAAGCTACTGCCATGGATAACAGCTTCACAGGAGGTAGTGGGGAGACTGTGCTGGGGTTCAAGATGATGTTGCTGCTGCCAGAGAACATTTCAGTGCTGAATTGTCTGTGATTGGAAGTGAAGCTGAGGCTCAGCTACCATAGTGGTGCTGAAAGAATAGTAGTATATGTCAACTTGATGCAGCCAAATATTCATCACCTGGTTCAGCA